GAGCGAAGTGCTCTAATAGGGTGATTAAGATGAGATGGGGCCTGAATTCTGGATTTAACAGGGAGCCAATATTAGAGAAATCTGCTGTCTTTACTCCTGGTCTTCCTGTGAGCTGCTTCCTCTTTGTCCGGTCCACGTGGATTTGCTACACAGTCAAATGTTCTCATAACTGTCACTGATCTTAAGCAGCTGTAATTTGACTCACACAGTTGCCTTTTGCGTTAAAGATGTAAGTCATACTTTAGTTTACACAAGACAATCATATCATTAGAAGTACAATTTTAATTTCCGTGTTATTTTAAGCAATATTCTGTTATTCCAAGCCCTCGTTGTGGCAGAGGCAGAGCTCTAGGATAGCAGTGCAGTATCAGCCACCAAAGTGATCGTGGTTATATACGATCGTTTTTGGATCGTTACTGTTTCTGGATTCTCTAAGTTGAAGTTTCTGTTGGCTGCTGGGGCAAAAAGATGAAGTGACCGAGCAGGAAGCAGCAGTGTATAACCTGAGATAGGTCAAGGAGTTCTCCAGAGATGATGATGCTTTACCCAGAGCGTGGCACACTAAAGAAGTAAACAGCTTCCTGGCAGGACTCGAGCAGCTGATTCTCTGAGCTTTAGGCCTCCACCCTGCACAGTATCAACTCTGACAATTACACTGAATGATTTTCTAAAAGCACAGTTATGTTTCTTTTAACCAGTTTCAAAATTGTTTCTCCCTAAAATCTGCTTCCAGCTCTGTGTATTGATTCTGGTGCTCTGCAGGCACGTTTCCAGGGTTTTCTATATATAACAAACTCTGTGAAACCTCTTCATGCAGCCTCCAGTTTCAGCCTGAAAAGGCATCTCTTTAAACAGGGTCAGCCCCGTTTTGATTATCTATCTGCCAGCATGACGCTGTTCTGATTCAATCTTCACAAAACACTGAGTTCCTTGATGGAAAAAAGTTAAAGGTAAAAACATTTTTTCCAGGAGTAAGTACAATTTCCAAGATGGATTTGCTCAAGAAACATGAAACATAAGGTCGTAAGGTTGTGTCACTTGAGCTGCTGGTATTAGCTGAAAGGTGAAAGTGTGTTTTGGACCCAAATTTTAATTAACAGTTAATTTCCTGCAGCTCTGATTTGGGCCTCTGACTAGAGCTACGTCCACACGTATCCGGGTATTTTTGAAAACACAGATTTTTCTATGCGTTTGCACCTTTCGTCCACACGTAAACGGCGTTTTCAGTCACTGAAAACGGAGATTTCTAAAAACTCCGGCCAGGGTGGATATTTTTGAAAACTCCGTTTTTGCATTTACGTGTGGACGAGAAAAACGGAAAAAACAACGTCAAAGGTGTGCGCCTTTTTTGACGTCACACTGTGCGCCACGTTATTGTTTCGGTGAAATGAATTTCTACAATACTGTTACTGTTAATTGTTCTCTCTGCAGTGTTTAAATGCTTACATATACACACACATACGACTCTTTCTGCTTCTATGCCCCAGCTTTGTTTACTTTTTCCCACCGAGGCTTCTAGACTTCTGATTGGCCAACATTTCTACACAGTTAGGAATATAGCGCCACCTGCTGCTTTGGCATGTTCCTAGCAGCGTTTTCCTTCATTTCCGCCTTTACGTGTGGACGGGATTATTTTTTAAAACGAAAACGGAAAATCTCCGTTTTCAAAAATACCCGTGTACGTGTGGACGTAGCTTAGAAGTGGGTTTAAAAAATCGATTTCCTGATTCAAAACGATTTTAGTTTAAATAAAGCGACTTCAAATCTGAATTGATTTTTAATGTATTTTGCCAGAAACGCCAGAATCTCAGCTTAAAGCTCACAAAACTGTTTCCACCAAACAGATGAACACAGTCTGCAGGTTTCGTCACTCTGACCACAATTCACTGAACCAGCAGCAGAACAAGAGCAAAAGTAGCTTCATGTTTTCAAGACATTGTCATTTATTTCCTTCTTACTTTTGCTGTTTCGCTTCCACCAGGATAAACTCACACTTCCTGCACAGCTCTCTGTGTACCCACAGACCAGTTTACCATAAAATCTGTTTCCTGCATTACTCGCTGCTTGTTACACATCAGTCTGCCGCTGTGTTCAGCGCTGTCGACGCGGGTTTTTCCATTTGACCTCCGACTAGAAAGCCTCATTTCTGCCGTTCAATACCAAAGAAATGTAAAACGTCTTGATGCATTCTCAATCATCCAGGAAAATAAATCTCCAAAAGTTGATTCTGTTCATCTGGACGTAGCATTTTCTAATATGTTAATATTTAAGCCCACTGAAGGAACAATGGGCTGGGAGGTCAGTTCCTTAATTGATCAGTGGTTGTTGATCAGTGGGTTTTGGTCAGTGGTTGTTGATCAATGGTCATGAGAATTTGCATAATTATGATTAAGGAACTGACCTCCCAGCCCATTGTTCCTTCAGTGGGCTGGTTTCAGTCATTATGCAAATGTACTGTTTCTAAGACTGAAACCTGCAGTCAGCTGAGACTGAAGAAGTCACTCGGATGAGTGACGAAACGTTTCTCCCAGAAAACGCTACGTCCAGATGAACAGAATCAACTTTTGGAGAAAGAAATGTAAACTTTTTAAAATTATACCAAATTGCAAAACTCTCAGCTGTGTCTCTAATCAAACTCAGCAGCATCAGGTGATGTTCACATGTTGATTCATGGCTCATCTGCTATAAAAAGCCAGGCCAGGAAAATCTCCTTCATGTTTTATCCTCAGTGACTTCGACACAAACACATCTGCTGTGATGTTCACACCTCTGATAAATCTCACAGTGTCAGCTTTGTTTTTATACATAGTTAGAAAGAGAATAATTATGATCATTTATCAGTACATATCCATAATACTTTGACTGTCTGAGCCTAAACTGAATCGAATCAGTTGTAGAAATCAGTGACGACACCTCGCCCACCTCTGGTCTGTCATGTTAAGTAACATTAAACCTGCAGTGCAGAACTTTGTTTTCACACCTCAGCTATAAAAGGCTGATGGGCTGTTGCCGTCACCCCACTGGGCGAGTGGGCAGGCGGACAGCACGGACACCCAACTCAAGAACAAAAAGAGGCCATGGACCAGGGGAGTCATGGCTCACTTTTGCATTTTGTTCATTTCTTCATCTCCGTGGCTGCACATGCTTTATCATGCACTAAACTATGCTACACCTCCTGCTTTAAAGACCTTAATCTAGTAGTTAACGAACAGCAGCACCGGCTGTGGTGGCAGCTGCTCGATCCTCTTACAGAAGGTTGGTAAACTGCACCGGGTAGTTTGTATTTATTAACAGAAGCTACGCTGTGTACAACATGACAGCTGTTGCATTGTCATTAGCTTTGTCCTTCGTCTCAGATCTAACATGTGAATGACGTATTTACACTGCTGTGGTTCAACTTCTTTATCATTTCATTGCTGTGATCCCAGCTCTTCCTTCCTGCCTCCTCTTCCTTTGGTTGCCATCTTCATTTATCGATCACAGACTAAATATTTGGCAGTGCTGGTTTTGTTTCACTTTACTTTTCTCCCTAATTTTCCTCCCTCTCTCCCTCGTGCCCTCTCCTATTCTCAGGATATAAAGGTAACTCCTGCTAAAGAACAATCAAGGCCTTACTGTCCCAGAATACAATGATTCACACTCTGCTTTATGACATATTTTTGGTTGACTCCATTTCGTTTTAGGTTTTGTCTTTCCTTTCGCTCACTGTTTTCCAGTCATTCTCAGTGCTCGGTTTAGCTAGACTTGTCGTATATTCTATTTCTGTGTTTTTCTGGTCCTATCATTCCTTTTCCTGTCTCTGACTCTCACACACGAACCAGACCATAGATAGACTCACACGAGAGCAGTGAATACAAATAAAAAGTGCACGCACAGTCATAAAACAAAGGTGTGCGACTCCTGTTTCGTCTTGCATCCACAAGCCTGATATATGTGTGTTAAATAAGCCAGTTGCTGTCCTCCTGTCTTCGATCTGTCTTCACTTTCCTCCCCCCCCCCAGTCTTTATCTCCATTCCTTGTTCTGGGCTTTGCTTGGTTCTGATTCTCACTGTTATAATCAGCCTATCTGATTGCCAGCCTCACTGTCAATTCTGTGAATGAGGAATGCCAAACAGAGGCATAAAGTATAGTCTGTGGAGGCGCGCAGTCCTCCCTATACTTTGTGCACTGCCTTTATGTCTACCTGTTGTGTTTTCACATGGATTTAAACTCGCTGCGTTATTTCTTTGCCTGACGAGAAGAACGAGCACAGATGAATCCACATTTCTGAATCAAGCATCCCGGAAATTTCAGTCTTTGTCACTGGGTGTTAAAATTCCCTCTGATGTCATTTCCTCTGACAGACAAACCCTTCAGTTTGACATGTTGAGACTTTTTTCGTTTGACTTTATTTATTTGGTTTGTTTCTGTTTCCTATTATGCAACATTTCTTTTTCTTTGTTCGCAGATGAAAAGAAAACTTCTCATTTTGCACTAATTAAAGCCGGGCAGCACGCTGTGGCCATTTTGGCTGCTGGCAGTTCTAGCAGTTCATGTGAAAGTACAACATCAGTGCATTTCACCAAAGGTTGACTGTCTGTCTGTCTGCCAGTCTGTGTCTCTCACATGTGGGCTACTGTAATTAACTGTTTTATTTGTCTGTCAGTCTGTGAGTCCATTAATTGGAGAAATGTCCATCGAATGGGGCTGAATGCCTTTATACACATCTGAATTTAACCAGTGTGGGTTTTTGAAGCCTGGTACTTTTGTACTGAAGTTGCTGAGAGAGAGAAGATAAACTTTTTAAAGTTTTGGAAAATGTACGTTAAGATGGAGTGCAGTTATTTCCAAAGGAATTTAGAGTGAAAATAGTACAAACGTGGCAAATGTTGAAACAAACTATTGTTTTGGGGAAAAATGATGACGTTACCTTGATGTCATCTAGTGGCCTTAGTGTACTAATGCACCACAGTATCATCACCTGCTGCTATTTGAACCTTAGCCTCAAGGACGCAGCTGCAGTTCACGTGTCCAGTAACAGTGATTTTAGAAGTCTTGCCCCAAACACGGTCAAACACGGTCCCATCAATACAGAATTCATCTGAATAAAATCTTTTAATAGGAAGAATGCAGATCCTCTGTATCTTACACTGAGC